TATTCAGAACTTCAGTGGAATCGACACCATTGACAACGTGTCTATTTGGGACCAACTGTTGAATTCTCAGTTGCTGACTTTATTATGTAGCTGGCTTAGGTATTGCAGCAAACCCTCTCGACATTACATGTACAAGTTAATTTGATATCTGTAAACAGCCTTCAATAAAATTAATAACACCCCACCTATGTTGATACCTAATAATCAATATTACCTTATTTGTTTAAATTTATACCTTTATATTTCAAAGTGATGGCCTATTCACTTGTAGCATTTTAACTCCTGAATACTGACGTTTAACTAAATGGAATAAAAGTAAATCTAAGCCCACACAAGTACGCTTTGCGGACCTATTTTATTATTTTGTTGTCAAAAGCTGGCAAATTCATGAAACAAGCATGGCCTGAGAACCACTCAATAAACTACTTACTAACGTACCTTGCTAGAGCCGTACTGGGAAATATTGGTCCTCGGTCCGTTTTTAGCCGAAGTATGTTTGATCGATTCATAACTTAACGAGGGCTTCTTCAAAAGTGTTACGACCGGCTGCCGATTGCGAAAAATGAAGTCTAGGCGCAACACAAACGTTGACAAGGCCACGTATAGTCAAGCGAAACAGCGTAATCCACTTGTTTGATGAAGGCAAACTGAAGGGAGAAAAAGAATCCCGAGTCTCAAATACATTATGTTAGTTATCTCTGGAAGTTGTTTCAAGCAACAAACTGCAACACTGCCTGATTAACAGCGAGCCAGCAAGAGCGAGGGGGTGAATCTTTCGTTCAAAGTTTATAACAAACAATACATGTTTAGCATAGGCAGCAGCCATTAAACTAGATAACTTCTATTGAGCTTAATTTGACATATTCCCTGTAGATAAGCATACTGAGAAGACTAAATGAACTTGATGTCCGAACAAATGCTAATGAGGTCGATTATTCAGTATTCATCCCGGTCCATTGAATCAACAGAACTGCTCGTCGTTTCAATTGCCACCATAAAGAGTTAATTATGACGGCCCTTTTCATGGTTATTTTTTTCTTATTTGCATAATAATATAATCCAAACGTGTATGTAAAACAATTTTGGGCAATTTTAATTTGTAGTTTCTGCCCGAAATTGCCCGAAATTGCCTTGGGTCCACGTTAAATTTTATTAAAATGCAACTGCACAGGAAAATTATAGCCATTAACAGAAAAACTATAAACTTTTCAATTGAAAGGTGAATCTAGGTTGTAAGAAGAACTTTAAGATAATTCAGGCTCCAATCCAAGCTCGGATTCGCTCTGGGCAACATCCAAATCAGCTAACGCTAAAGGCAGCGTCCACACTACACCGGAGAAATTTGAAAACGCAGCTTTATTTCTACAGTTAGGCCTACCGTCCACACTGATCCGTCACGAAAACCAACCTTTTCGAAAACGCTCTTTATTAAACCAGAGGAATATGAAAACGCCGGATTTTCGTCTTCGTGAGGACGGACAACATTTTAAAACTGAGACTTTTCGAAAACGATGGCGTCACGACGGTCATGTGATTTCCCTGACCGAGTGTGCCTCAAATACGACCGGTTATTTTTGCGTTTTCAAATTCCTCCGATGTAGTGTGGAGTGCAGGTTAACAACAACGGTGTTCAATGTTTACAAACGTGGACATCAACAAATATTTTATTTCAATCGTCGCACCAGTTTCCATGTCAGTACTATGGCTGCCGTAGTGAGATGCGCTGTAATAATTGTAAACGTATTGTCAAACAATAAAAAGACAAAGCATTGAAGCTAAAATTGTTCATATTTTATTTCAACAAGAAATGTCTTTTAGCCGTTATTTGCACAAATTTCCAAAACTAGTCGACGCTAGCGCTACCGCTTTCCTGCAGTTACTTACCTATTTATTTAAGTTGCTTTTTTTTTCCAGTGATTCGTATTGAAGTTATATACCAGTTGATACTGCTTAGAGATAATTTAGATAATTATAGCGTTGGAACGCTTTTAATTTAGTAAACATTACCATTAACAAATAATTCTTTTACGGCAGTACATTTGGAAGAACACTCTTTTAACACGTTCTGGTTGTAATCATCTGCTCTGAAACTTGTAAACAACTTAGTTAGAATTTATTTCTAGAAAGGGCATAACGAAAAAGCCGCCTTTCTCTTCGATTTCACCTTATTTTTACTGTAACACTCGGACGTACAAGCAGTCACACCCCCAGCGTGGTACAAAGCGGGGTGGATGGAACCCCTCCACTGGGTTTTCGTTCTGTTAAGATAAAGCGCAAAAAATTATTGATTAGATAGCCCCGAAGGTTGCTTATGACGTCATATGACGTTAAATGACGTCATTGATCCGCCATCTTAGATCCGCTATCTTGGATTTTACTATAATCCAAAAGAGTCAAGAAATAACGGAAATTAGTACAAAATCAAGCCAGGATGCTTATGAAATGTAAAAATTCGTGAATCTCTAAAATTTGATGAAGAAAACTAGAAAAGATAAATAATCACGTCAAAACAAGTTGAGTTTTGGCCAGACCTACATGAGATTTGCGGCTGCCACAGCAGCGTCACAAATCATGGACACACAATTGTATCTCAAAATTTCCGCGGAGGATGAATGAACAATTTTTGAAAGTTTCAGTTCATTAACTAGAGTAAATCCTCTTTTCAAAACATTGGAATAATCTTATTGAGAGTGGTAATTTTGGAAATTCAAGATCTAGCTTTCCGCAAAATCTTGAATTTTCAAGATTTTGTAACTCATGCAGCGTATGACAACTCACTGATGTAACTCACGAGG